TTTAGAGGTGACATGCAAAAGCACTGCTCAAAGTTACAAGCTTGCCCACAAAGATGCCACAAGAAAGAAAAATGGAGATGGGGGTTTATGAAGAGAAGCAGTGCTGTATGGTCAAACAACCCCAGAGATTTATCACTGTCTTGCAATCCAGAGAAATGTGAGCTGCAGCCCTCCTGGGGCTCCTCAACACACAGAGTGCCATGCCAGCTACCCTGAGCAAAGGCAGATGGAAAAAAGGGTTAGAAATGGAACAGTTTGTTCATGCCGTAGTTAGCTGCTCTTTGTGCTGTTACTGACTCTGGCAGCAAAACTAGGACATAAGCAGCTCAGACTATCGGAGAATACAGTGGTGTCACATGAACATGAACATTACAGTAGTACCTGAGGCCAACCAGATTGGAGCCTCATCATTCTAGGCGTAAACACAAACGTGACAGCCCATCCCCCCAAGAGTTTACAATCTAGGTGAATGAGACAGACAGACTATTGGATTAGGGTGGGGGAAAGAAGGTAAACAGCATAAGTGCAGTTCTCAACCAATCAGGAGCAGCAATAACAACTTGTCACCCGCCAGTGCCTAGCTGTTATCAGGTCTAGAGCAGTGGTTTTCAACCTTTTATTCATTTGCAGACCCCTACAAATTTTCAAATGGAGGTGCAGACCCCTTTGGAAATCTTAGACATGGTCTGCAGATCCCCAGAGGTCCATGGACCACAGGTTGAAAACCACCGGTTTAGTTACACTGGGCCAGATCTCGCAAACACTTACACACGTGAGTAGCTTTACTGCATCTATTAACTTCTCCGGGGCTATACAGTTACTCACCTGCTAGTGTTTGCAGTAACTACAGCTATGTACTGTACTTTAATCATTAACATGCTCTTTGCCCTGCCAGACAAACATCAGTGAAGTAGGAGTGAAGTTGCTAGAACAGATTGTGCAAGCACTTGTCTACAGGCCAGAGGAGTCTTAAGATCTCCTTCAGGGCAGAGCCACTCCCAGAATTCCAACGAGGAGTCTTCTGGCACCATAAAGACTAACAAATTTATTAGAGCATAATCTTTCGTGGGCTATGACCCTCTTCTTCAGATGTAGAAGAGGGTCATAGCCCACG